AACCTGATACTGTTTATGATCCTTGATCACGTCATAGTGACCAACAAGTGCTGACTTCCGGATGACGAATGTTGCTGACGTCAACAAATATATGGTATTGATATCTGTCTCCAAGCAGAGTTCGAATGGCAAAATAATAGTGGACCACGGTCTCGAGGTGATACAGAAAATGACAAATGTATATCGTGGATCGAAGGGTGATTTTTTATCGAGACAATAGAAGACGACTATATGTCGTGGTAAAATGTATCTCTGATAGGATGGTAGATAGCTGCAAGGTTGTCTCCTATGTCTGACCTCCTATGTCTGGGCGGGTAGTGAGTGGAAAAGCCTGGCGTCGCAGTCTCTTAATCTAGAGCCAGTGGGGTTGAAGGGCGAATGAAAACTGCCAGTAGTAGAGTCGGGCGCTCACATTAAGATGCATAACCCATCCTGGTCAAGATGTGACAACATTGCTGAGTTAGCACTTACTGTTTGACTGTCTAATGGTTAGAAACATTGAAGCTAGACGGGTAAGTGGCGAGAAAGATTATCCACTTGTGAATGAAGTGATCAGGATAATCCTAGGGGCGGTAAGTCTTCCGTCGGTAGATACTTTTATAGATCAAATAGTATTTTCCCCGGTATATGTACACGGAATCGCCAGAAAGCCAGGCCACCGAAATGACACGGCTGGTATGGAGCAGCTAAAGTCATGGATAAATCTGCCATTAAGAAAACTCGCCGAGTACTGAGCGCGAGAAGCGGGACAGCTCTTCCCAAGGCTACTACAAATCTGCTTTATCCATTGCTGAAGTAGTTTTACGACGTGGTGACGAAAGATCCACCATGTGTGTAGTTCCCGGGTAGGAATGCGTCGCAAAATTGACCTGGATCCCGGAACCAAATGTTCCTTCACACGACAGTGGTTGAATCAGGGTAGTATGACTTCGCCGACGCTTTTTTCAGTGGAATGCACGGAGCAGCTTTAAGGTGACAGAACAAATCTTCACTCTCATCGCTAATGTTCTGTGTCATTAAGGTTAGTGACAAGTGGCGGAATGCACAAGTTTTTGACAAGCTAAATGCAGCCATTAATGGCAATTGACGTATTGTGCATGCTTAGCAAGCTTAATGTAGCTACGATTCCAAAATGGAATTGCTTCACATCAGTATGTTGGACTGGACTTTGTCCAGCGTCTCCAATCTGATCGATGGTTAGTAACAACCGCTGGCGAAAGACAGCGATACCCCCTCGCACTGTGGTGAGTATTTCGAGGAGGGTGCTCTGATTATGCAACAGAAACTGTCTTACACACTGGCGACGCTTAATCATCTGGTGACATAGCTGTACATGGCACATCGTGGCTATGCAAAAAAAATTCGAGAGAATTCTCGTTCGTCGCCGTGAAAAGCTCAAGAAGCTGGTTGGAAAGATCCAAATGAGTTACTTGGGAGGAGAAATTTTCTCCTCCCAAGCACAAACGCCTAGTGTCACACAATTTAATTGTGTGACACTAGGCGTTTGTGCTTACAGTCGACTTATGGCTTGTAATTTCCCAGCCATGCCATTTCTAAAATGAGATCGTATCGTGAATCTGTTCCAGATCTGGACAACAATCCACGCTGTTAAAATTCTCAAGCTTTATCTAAAGACTCAATATCACCTTATGCACATTCAACAGTGTCCCGCAATATGCATGGATATCGAATCTGTGATCGGCTATTCAAAACCTCCGCGTATAATCCGCGGCTTTTTGATAGTCGCCCACCACACGTAGTTGTACGACGCTATTAAATCTGTTAAGGAATTACACGGGTTCACAGAGCCTGGAACGTTAGTATCAACAACCAAACAACCCTAAGCTATTGTACAGCCCCCATGAGGTGCAATAGAACCCAGATATATTCGCCACCTTGCACCTAACTAAAAATTGAGGCTTTTCCGAATGGTTTCGCCGGAGGCTCCTTCGAACCTCCTATGCGAGAGCAGGGGGTGCAAATGTTCTGTATTACCACAGATGAATCATCTGCGACAGCCGTACTCAGCAGCAAGAGTTGTCCCATCATATTCTGCATGACTGAGGTCCATCGCATCTGACGTAATCATAGAGTTTCCCTATCAGCACCTCATCGTGCACTAGCGGTATGGAGGTTGTATTACGCATTGAATGTCATACCATCCCTTCCTCGACAGAAGAAGGAGGATCGTGCAAGGTCTTGGTTGGGCAGCTCATTTTTACAAAGCCTCTATGAAGATGGTATTTTTTCTACCCCAAAGAGATAAGAGTCGTTACTTATATATATAGTCCGCAGGCCCTCGCCTTCCTTGGCATAGGGACAAGAGCACACTCGACACCTGTGGTTAAGCGTTGCGAATCCACAGGACATCTGTCGCTTCGAGTCTTTTCTGTGGAAAGCTCTTTTTGCCGAGATACTGCTTGTCAATGCCCCTACTCGTATGCGGCATCCTAGCTAGGAGACCGCAAGTGCAACGCGACGTTGCTCTGTATTTATCCTGACCAATTTTCAGGGCCATTTCGGCTTTCCTCGGCCAAAGTGAGAAACACTCTGTCCTGGACCCTATAGGTCTGAGTACTCAGCAATAGAAGTCTTATGGTGGGTGCCATCATTTACCCACCAACAGCCAGTTGCTTTTAATCAGTGCATTACCAAGCTGGTAAGTGTCTTCAGCAAGAGAATACCGCTTTCGGTTCATTTGCATTCTTGTTTCCTGATGCCATCGCGACCAATGATATCCATAATCTTGTTATGCTGGTTTAGTTATCCTGGAAGTAGCTACCTGATCATTCCATGCTCCATCCTACGGGCTTTTACTCCACTTCTTCGTGGGATTATTAACTAAAAGTGCTACGATGTGCAGCAAGCACTTACAACTGAGGAATCTTTGACCGTGAGATTTTGCGTTGAGAAACGCACAGAAGTCGGGTTTGTAAGGTCTATCCACGATCAAACCCGAGATCTTAGCTTGGCTATTTCAAAAAATACCTATTTTGGGGATTACAGCTAATTCAAATTATGTACGTTTTATTACTTGCAGCCAGCAGCCGCGGACCTCCACTTTAAAATTTTTCATCGAAATAAATACCGATAGTTGTAGAGAAACAGATCTTGTAACTCAATATGAATCGGATTTACAGATATTGATCAAAGATAAGGTAAACCTAAAAATATCCTGCTTTTGTTTCAAAATTTCTGAGCGCGGCTGGGTGAGAAGGCATGTTTCCCACGCTACGTGCGCAAATTTATTTAGATACTTATCGACACTCTTAGTGCCTAAGGTACATTTCTCTTGGAAGGCACGGGTTTCACCAACCGCTGCTACTCTAATCGCAGTTAAACTTACTTGCTGCTGAGTGGCTTTATTGAAAGAATGTGATTGGCCAAAGGCATTCTGTCAGCGCACATATCTTGTGTACATCACCTTCGCACTATACTAAGACTAATAGTAATCTAAAATCCTGATTTCCAAAGATCATGGTGTAGACAACATACTGCATACTTCAAAAATCAGCAGTTTGCATCTTGCTTTTCAAGAAATGTATGTTACCTTCAAATTGTTGGTGTGGAGCTGCGCACAATCTGTCTTAGCCGTGCCCGATGACATCTTTCAGATGCGTCTACCTTTCCCTGTTGTATCGCACCCACTGCAGCTGTCACCCAGCCTATTTGCGGCTGCGGAACGTCTGCCACTGACCTCTTATGTAGCCAATTCTACATATCCTAGTCGACTAACCGACGTTCCATTCCCGACGGGTGCTTGGTGGTCAAATCTGGTGTTGGACCAAGGGAATTCCGCTGTTGTGTCTATGCCATATGTGTATAAGATCTTGGATAAGAAGCTGCATGTAAGCTTTCCAATTCGCGTTGTATCACCCCGAAGTATCGAGATGGGATTTGTCGCTCAGATGGTCATAAGCTCTCAAGCGGTTCAGCCTTCAATACTTCCACTAGCGCATCACGTTGTAAATTTTGATTCCTTTAGTGCAACAGTGAGTTTTAGCCGTGGTCAAACTGAAGAATTTCGTGCATATCTTATGCGAGGCTCACCTTACACAACATTGGAGTATAATTGCAGCCGCCCCGTACTGGAAGCTAGAGATGGGTTGCAAATTAATCGTTTCAAAAAACTTGAAGGCCTTACGTTTATGAATGGAAAAGACGTACCCTTTGCCACTTTTGCGGCACAGCTTAGCAACGGTCAGACCTGGTACATATATGCCTCGTCAAAGCAGCTCGCCCTCACGCTGAACAACAAAGGAGAGGTGACCAGTGTTGATGAATTTACGGGTGTATTAAGGATTGCTCTTTGTCATGATGCCAAAATGATGCCACTCTTGCTGGAATCAGCGTATGTGTACGCTATCGGAGGTGATGTTACCTATTCTGTGGTTTCGCAAGACCCAAATATGGTGCTGTTTAAATTTTGGTGGAAGACAAAAAGTTTTTCGGCATTTCATGGCGAAACGGATGAGGTCACGGACGACGAGAAAAACAAGCTTCTTATGCTAGCATTGCCCCACCACATAGACATAATACAAGGTCAGACGGGCAACATGCCATTGAAGGCGGGAACAAATAAAATATTATCGGGTTTAGCTTATATGAGCATTCGTGGCGTAATGAAAGGAGTTTATGGAGCTGTGTGGCACATGACTGAGTCATTACCAGAGGTTGAATGGAACTATGCTGATGACGGACTTTTTAGCGATGATTTTAGCAGCGAGCATTTTGACGACAAGCAGTTCCGACTTGACATGCGCGCTAAGGTAACAGAGGCTATCATCAGAGAACTACCGGGTGATGCTGATAAGTACCCACTGCCGATGAGCCCAGACTCATACAACTTTGGCAAGCAAGTTAGCCGTGATGCACGATTGCTGCTGATTGCAGACAAGTTTCAGCAGCATACACTGAAGCAAAAAATGCTGACAAAGATCGAAAAGGATATTGTCGACTGGCTTGAAGGCACGAACACCGATCATTTTGTTTACGACCGAACCTTTGGTGGTCTGATTACTAAGAACGGCTGGAAGGATGAACAAGCTGATTACGGCAACGGTTACTACAATGATCACCATGTACGTACTTTAATTAATACACACCTCCAACCAACATCAATGACTTACAAATATGTCTCTGTTTCAGTTTCACTATGGTTACTTTGTGTATGCGCTTGCAACAATTCGAAAGTTTGATCCCAACTTCATCGAAAATCATGCACAAGCTTGCGCTCTGATTATTGGTGATATTGGAACACCGCTACTCAACAGCAACACCACGTTTTACAACAATCTGCCCGTGCAATTGCTGTTCCCAACTGCTCGCCACAAAGACTGGTTTGTCGGCCATTCATATGCAAGTGGGTTATTTACGATGGAAAACGGAAAGTCTCAGGAAAGCAGCAGTGAAAGTTTAAACGCATACTATGCTCTTGTGCTGTTCTCCATGCTTGATGTAAATGCTACCGAAACAATCGAAGACACCTCGTACTATCAATATGCACGTCTCTTACTTGCTACTGAGTTGCGATCAGTAAAAAAATATTGGCATATGAAAGTTAATTCAAAAATTTATGAACCAGTCTTCTCGAAAAACATCATGGTCGGTGTGGTGGGCGAGATGAATGTGGTGTACAATACGTGGTTCGGTGATCGTGCTGTCTACATTCATGGTATAAACATGCTCCCTTTTACGCCTTTTACACCACAACTGCTGGACGAAACGTTTATCATGCGCGAGTATCAGCTGCTCGGTCAGGATCTGCCCGATCTAGATCGATACGATATCTGGCGTTCAATCGTCGTATTGGACCACGCGATATTAGACGCAGCAAAAGCTTGGGATGAGCTTAATCAAACAGTCAATGCCTTTGACACGTGGTCTTCACGTTCTAACGCAATGTACTGGATTGCCACTCGCTCATCATGGCTTGCTCAAAAAAATCGTACAGAGCTGCGTGACCCAATCACCGATGTGGATAAAAACTGCTTTGGATTCCCAGCTTGTGCATCAGCCGGAAACAATGGCACTGCTTTACTGTGTTGCAGTACCTTGCCAGGATGTTGCCCGAGTGCCTTGAGCTGTTGTCCGCACGAAGACCCACCTTTGTTGCCGAGTAATGCTTGCTATGGCGAGTATGACTGCGCCAGGCTTGAATTAGGTTGCTGCAACACCATTGATGGATGTTGTGAACCTGATCCCGTTTCAGGAACCGTGCTGAATTGCTGTCATAGCCAACATCAATTCATCAGCAACACAACCGAAAAGGTGAAGGAGGAGGACAAAGATACATCTTTGTGTTTTGGTGAGCCAATCTGCGCAGCAGCTAAGCTCGACTGTTGTGGAGCACCTAGCGGCTGCTGCTCCGATTCTGATACCAAACTTAATTGCTGTTTATCCAGAAACCCGACTAGTGCTTCATCCAATTCTTCTCACTCAAGCAATGACAACAATTGCCATGGACAACCAAAATGTGCGGCTGCTGGGTTGGATTGTTGTGGTTGGGACGAAGGCTGCTGCAAGTCAGATTCTATCTCGGGGTTCAAGTTGGACTGCTGCGAAGCGCCTCCCGGTACCAGTTCCACCCTCGTGAAAAATGGTGAACATCATTCTCACAATCTTAGTTCAAGTGACGATTCATCTCCCAAAGAGAATTATGATGGTTATTTTCGCATTATGGTCGGGATTAGTGGAGCTGTTCTGCTTACCGCGATTGTGTACGCTATGGGCCTCTGCTATCGTCGCCACGGATATTCTAATATTGACGGTGACATGCGAACACTCTACTGCACTGGGCTGATGGTTGGCTTTATCGCCTTTTTCTTCTTTCTCATCGTCACTTCTTAATTTTTGATCTCAAGAGAGAAAAGCACCGTAAATAACTCATTCTTTTCCTTGCTCAAGATTTTATCAACCTTATAAATCGATTGTGATTGACAGGCATAGTAATCACCTTCTATCAACTGTACAAAGCTTATCAGCGCGGAAAGGCACATACGACAGCCTACAAATACAGGCGCTGACGCGATGATCACACTTCTGGTCACATATATACGGCTGGCCCAATATTAAAGGTAGAATCAAAAACACATGATCCGCACAAGACAATGCACCTCCTTCAACGAGATCCTGCCATCTCTGGTCTCGAATGTGTCCTCGTAAATTAAGTTTTTTTTGTCTTTTGAAGGCCCCAACTTCGATGGCCAAAAAATGCAGAACTGCTCAGCAAATCGACCGAGGAAGGATAAAGAACATGCAAAAATCGTTCTGATCTGTCTGGTCTGGTCTCTCGACTGAGTCCTGCTCTCTGTTTGTACTGGTATAGTCCAGACTCCTTAAAGCTGCGTCTTAAATTCATCGCTATTCTCGCCTTCAGCAGTGCTCACTGCTCACCTAATCACGCCGCGGTGGAGGTGAGGAGCTACGACGAGGCGAGCGGCTACGAGGATGGGGCGATCGACTGCGTTCGCGACGAGGATTCCCACGGTCGCGGTCCGTACGGTCACGATGGTCTGGTGAGCGAGAGCGCGAGCGGCGACGCGAACGGTCATCCCGGCGGTCGTCGTAGCGTCGGTCATCGCGACGATCAAATCTACGCTCTCCGTAGCGGTCTCCTCCTCCTCTGTATCGATCTCCACCGTAGCGATCACCGCCGCCTCCGCTACGCGCATAAAATTCCCGAGGATTATCGGGCCGGCGCTGCTTGGCGAATTGCACTCGCAAGTCGCGGCCTTGAAAATCTAGGCCCTCCATGCCGTCTATTGCGTCTTCAGCATCGCGTTTCTCTAAAAAGCGCACAAAGGCAAAGCCACGCGACTCATTCGAGCCTCGAGCTCGTGGAATGTACACATCTCCTATTTCACCAAACTTAGAAAAGAGGTCGCGTAGCTCGTCGCTCCTGTAAAATCAAGTTAATGTATATGATGTAAGGAGAATATCAACAAGACACATACCCAATCTGAAAGGGAACGTTGTCCACCTTCAGCGTGAACATGCTATCGACGTTAGGGGGGGCCATTGCAGTCAATTAGTCTTTGGCTATGAAACTGGTGGCTTTGAGAAGTGGAGAAGGGTCACATACTTGGATCGGACTTTCTAGGTAAAATACACTAAGGAAATACCGGTAGCTGTATAAAAGCTGAGAGCTAAAATGTTATATATTGACATGCTGAATACAATATAAGAAATCAGACGTAGATTTTAGAGATATTATAAGAAAAAGCACGATGGTACAAACCCAATTATGGTGTACAGTCACATGATGTAACGGGGATACACGTACCCTCCTGGTAACAGG